AAATATTTCATGATGAAGTGCAAAATCTTACATTAAAATAACAATATAATTCTTTTCCTTTTGTGTTACATCTAATAATAAATTCATAATACTTAACAAGGATCCTGTTACATAAGTTTCTGAAAATGTTTTAAAGTATTTTTCTGTATTTAATATTTTTATAAGACAATGTAATAATGTAGAGGCCCGCCAAGAGTCTGTAATCAATCCTATGATCTACTGTCAGGCCATTCTTTTGAAAATCTAGATGTTTATATTGATATTCACAAAGGAACAGTAATAATTTCTAGAATAAGAAACAAACTTCAAGTTCAAGCAAAACGGTTTGTGTTTGTACCAGCAGAAAAAGCAGCAAACAATGTGGTGGTGTATGACGTAAAAACTACACAGAAGTTCTTAGTATGAAATTATATCTTCTTCTAAACTCAGGTCAGTGTGCCCCACAGAGTCATATAGTAAACAGTCATTTCATAACCACATCACAGCTTAAGGCCTCTTCTGAACATTTGAAGGGTCCTACTATGTATTGGTTACCTTAACTACACAAAAAATTGCATTTAATTGATAATTCAACAACGCTTATTGTTATCTTGCAAGCTTTTTGGAGCCAGCATATCTATTAAAAAAATGTCCTTCCATTGTTGCTTCTCATATAAATAATTGATGTTGATTTCAAATAATAACATTCAACTAAAAAAAAGATTTATCTAATGAGGTTTATTTTTTATTTTTTTTGGTTATAGGATGTGTAAGCATGTGTGTTTTGAAGAAAATGTAGCTAGCACTGACTGAATTAATGCTGCCATTCCCACATAATTCAAATTCTATTAACATTAACTGATTCGAATTAAGTCTAATTCTCATTCAAAATGTTTTACATCCGAACTTCAATTTTAATAGGAATTGCAATGCGCGTCAAATTCGCTTTACTGTCCAAACAACGTAAACTTTTAATTCGTTTTATCAATTAATTAATTATAATTTAAAAAAAAACAACCATTTTAGAGCCAATAACATCTCCAAACTTATTCTCTTGATCTGATATGGTATTTATAAAAATCAGTTTTTCCTTATCATTTTCATAACAGGGCTAGGGTTTTCCTATTTTTTCCTGTTATTTTGCACAAACCATTGTTATACAAACATAAAATCTTTTGATTTGTCTATGAAATTTTGCCCAGATTTATCACTTCTTAAAAAACTTCTTCTTTAGGGAACAACCATTATGATATTTTCATGGACACAAATTATTAGTGTTAGGTTTTTTTTTAAAGAATCAAGAAATAACAAGCGAAACTGCGAGCTACTGCTCACTGATGATCCCCCCACCCAATATTTCGGTAAACAGGAAGTTGTTGAGTGATGAATCTGAAACGCATCACACTGTATAGCTGACTTATATAAACCCTGAAACCAAATTTCAGAAATCCTTGTATTATAGTTCCTGAGAAAGATGCAACGAAAAATATTTATGGGACTGAAGGAAGGACTGATGGATGGACGGACAGACGGATGGACAGACAGAGGTAAAACAGTATTCCCCCACTTTTTTTAAAGCGGGGGTATAATGATAATATTCTTTTAATTTGTCCGTCCAAGCACTTGTTCGGGTATTTCAAATTAAAATTTAGAAAGTGTCCATACCACAGTTTAATTCGAATTAAAGCTAATTAACTAATTCACATTCACGAAAATGTATTTCTAATGTGAATTGGATAAAGCCAATTAGCCAATTCAAATTAAAAAAAGAAGAGTGTGTGAACGCGATTAGTGAATTCGATTCGCATTCGATTCAAATTCAATTTGAATTAAATGTACGTGTGATTGAGGCATAAAAAAGATCAAACTTGTTTCTTTGTGTAGCACAGGATAATATTACTTAAATGGTATGAGTAAAGCCTATCCACTTTTATTACCTCATTCTTACATTCTGTTAAAAAAGAAAAAAATACTGATAAAAAAACAAGATTAATTGTTGTTCTCACAGTAAAACATATCAATTCAAATAATCCTCTACAGGAATTTTTAGCATCATCAAGTAAGAGAACAATAAAAGATAATCTACATCTGCTTTAACCAACAATCTGATATCTAAGCTGTAAACTCCTTTATTCTTCCCAAGCATTGATAAAAGGTTACAGTTATGATGCTTGGAGAGTGAGATAACACTTAAATCAGAAAAAAATACAAATAAATTTCTTCTTATTGGCTTAAATATGCCCTTAAATCTATGCTGATATTTTCATTGCTTAATAAATTGTTAATTTTATTACAATATAATAATATGCATTTGTGCAGCAAGAAGATAATGGTTCTTTTCATTATCAGGTATCTTTATTAGAAACTTAAGTGGCAATAAATATGTCAACCCTGAGAATTTAGAAAGTCAAATAGCAAATGGTTAAATATAATGGCATATGATAAAGCAAGATATAAATTTATTGTATTCTGTATAACGATGGAATAGGAATTGAAAGATCATGACTTTCCTAAATATTTAAAGCAAAAACATTTATAATTTTTCATTAAAATTAACACATATTTTGTGAAAGTTAAACCTCCTTTCTTATAAAACAACACTTTGTAGTCAGGAATTTAAAAAAAATGCCTCAATAAGAATTGAAGTAGTTTATGATTATTTATATATAAGTCTACATCATTTATTACAACAACTCTCAATCTTATAAATATTTCCCATGTTCACAAAAAAATGGCCGGTCTGTAGAAAATCTATATCCAAGATATCACAAGAAAGAACATTTATTTGAAATATAAATAAAAGGAGTTCTTGGGTATGCAGTAACCCAATACATGTAACACAAATGACCAAAATACATAATGATTGTTTACTTCAGTTATTAATACAAAAATAAGGAGATATGGTACAACTAGGGGTCAATGTATGGTCTTTAACAATGAGAAAAACCTGCAATAAAAAGCCCTGGTAAGACGAAATGTGAAACAACTTAAAAGAGAAAACTATCAGCCTGATTTATAGAATATATCAATGAACGAAAAAATAACCTGGCAGACAGCAACCAACAACAACCATATGATTACAGGTTCAGTGGGACACCTAGGACAGTGGTATAACAATACAAAATAAGAAAAACATATGGAACACAAAACATAATCTGAATCATTTTTATTCATGAAATGTAGGTTACTTAGATCTATTTTTGCTTCTCCCCATTACTTCTTTGATATATTTACTGCTTCAAATAAAATTTTATACAAATAGAAATTGTCTATAGTAGGCACAGACCATTTATTGACTGACAAATGGACAAACATTCTAAATCTAACATTAACTGAAGGACGAATGGATAATACATATAAATATAACCTTAATAGTATAAAAAAAGATTTGGCTACAAGCCTGTGAAATATGTCTTGTTGTTATAAACAAAAGTTTTATACCCAACAAACCCCTGTCCTGAGGCCTAACATGCCTGTACCTAGTCAGGAATATGACTTGTTCCATTTGTTAGATATCTTTGAGCTTTTGATTTTGCCATTTTATAAAGGACTTTCCGTTTTGAATTTCCTTTGGAGTTCGATATTTTTGTTATTTTTCTTTGTACTAACAGTTCCAAAGTTTATCATTTATCTCACACCCCAAACAAATAGTAGTCATAAAGTGCTTTTCTATCTGATAATTTTATCTTCATGCATAACAATCGGCCAAGGGAAATGACTTGCTTATTATCAATATCCTGAAAATATCACAAATCAAAGGGATTGTTGATACATATCAATACTTAGAAATCACACCTACATATATATCAACACCAAAAACAAATAAAACATGTTTACAATTACGTAACCCTTCATACAAATTATTTCTAAATAATATATCTTTTCAAAAATCAATAGAATTACAATGGTAGAAATGGTTTCTCAGTAAAACATATTAATTTAAATGACTGATCATATATATGTAAGACTTTTAAAAAATGTGAATTTCTTGTCAAGTAGATATCAACTTTTATAGGTAATTACTGTAATAATTAACATGATCTTATTATTAATTACTGGGCATTATGATTTTTGATTTAGTAATAATGCATTACAATTTCTACTTTACAGTTAGTTTGTTATCTTGGCCCATTTGTATATGCGTTGTACTAATTGCACTGACGACCATTATCATAATAGCTATAATTGACAATCTGATGACGTCTTGTAAATTGAACAAACTAAAAATCTTAATTTATTATTTACTGATTAAATTTATGATTCCATACAATTAATGGTATATAATTGAAGATAGACATCAAAATTTATAAATCCAAATATACTTTTTCTATTACTTATAATAATTGATAAAGTCAGTTTTTTTTAAACTGTTGCTGAACCGCGAAACTAAAGTTTAGGACAATGGAAATATGCCAGACGAACATAAGGCATCTGTATATAAGATAAGAAGTATCCAGATCTTCTACCTTCTGAAATATTTTCTTTTTCAAAAATGCCTGTACCAAGTCAGGAATAAGACAGTTGTTTTCCAATCATCCCGTTGGTCGATATAGTCGAGCATTTGGTTTTGTCAGTATGGATTTTCCCCTTCTTAAAGTTACCTTGGAGTTCGGTATTCTTGTTAACACATTTTTCACAGCAACTTTTAATATAATAAGCACTGAGCATGATAAAAAAAGTAATGAAAATGAGGTCAAGGTCAGGAACGTAATCTCATACATGTAAACCTTTCAATAATTCTACAGACCAAGTTCACCTATTACAAATCAATAAAACTTGTAATGTTAATCAATGAACCATGAAAATGAGGTTAAGTTGTATGTTAACCCTGTCAGACACACATTTACACCCTACAATGATTCTTTAGACCAAATGTGTATCTCCATTGCATAATATTTTTAAAATTGGTACTGACTGAATGATTGTTGGTTGCTTAACGTCCAGTGGTAATTTGAAAATGATTGTCAGTACGAATTATTCAATAAGATTTTATTGGGTTTTTACATTCTACCTGTACTTACAGTAATATATTCTATATGTACTTCTGGTCATCAAAGTTTCCTTCTTCTTTCCTGAAAATATATACAAAATTTTCAAACCAAAATATACATTACATGTTTCTTACAAAGTAAAGTGTAGAGTACAAGGAAGCTTTAGTAGACTAATAAATGAACAGAGTTCCAATGTCCCCCACGTTGCACAAATTCTACCTGTCCAAGGGCAATAACTGAATTTTTAAAATTTTATTTTCGTTCTTTAAAACTTTTTATAAATTTCTTGAAGAAATGTAGGATTGAGAGCCTTTTTCCATATAAATAACATTTCCAAGGAGCATAACTCTTTTAAGAATAGTTGATCAACACTGGTTTATGAACATGTCAGAGACATTGCTTACATAAACCTTTGATATAATAAACGGAGAATGTGTCATGGGACACAGATGATGCCCCTGCTTGCATACGTTATAAAGGGACACAACTAGAGAACTGTACAAGTGACGCCACCCAAATTTGAACTTGATCTGTGTTTTATGGTTATAAGCATTGTGTATAAATTTCATAACATTTGGTTGACATTTTGGGACGTATGTATGTATGGACGGACAAGGGTAACACTCAATGACCCCTTCGCCTAGCAGCAGGGGCATACAAAATTAATTAAAATCTGGATATAATTGTACATGTGAGAGCACTTACAAGACCAGACAGACAAATGCTTGGTATCTCTATTTCCCCTGCAACACCTTGCATGGGGGACAAAAAAATATCATCCAAAACTTATATGGATCTAACGGACTATAACATTTGTGAAGAATGTCAAAACCATTAACAAATTGCATGTTTTATATTCAAATTTGAGAGGAAATAGGGTGATACAGAACCATAATGAACTATCCTAATTTGACCCCCTAGGAACATGTCTGACAACAGCTGATTTGATAAACTGATATTATATACAGATTTAATATATGGAAGAAATTACAGTATTGAAAATAAAAATGAAATTCACCAAATATTTCCAGTAAAAATTTGACATTAAAATGTCAATGATCATTATCTATTTAAATCAAAATCTGATTATCAAGTAATATCATGGTGTGTTATGTAATACTACACTTCTATGTCCTGCAGCTAAAACAGAGGTGAAGAACTATTCTCTAGTGTATTTCTGTACATAATGACCATTAACTGGACATTGATGACCATTACAAAGAGACATTTATTTATCTCAAGTATCAATTAATTTTCAATTGGTGTCACCATAATTAATTTCAAAGGTATGAAACATGTGACATGATTAGCCCAGGTCACATGGAAAATGACAGGTTTCATTACAAATGCAGATACATGGATAACACATGGAGTTAATGAGCCTGTCACGTGCATGTGGTTGTTTACATCTAACAACACTGGACAATAAAGCATGTAATTTATTCAGTTGTTAAAGGTTAATCTTCTCTTCAATTGCACACATCCTTTGACAAAATAGAAGACATCTCTAGAGATGTTCTTTTGGCTGTAGCTATTTTCCAATTATTTCTTCTAGCTGTATAAATGAAATTGGCATAGGATTTCATTGAAGATTATTGATTTTTTCATAAAGCAACTATCCCACATGTCTTAAGTGATGACTTTAAAGAAAATCAGATTTCCTTGACTGAAGGATATTAGTAATTGGTTGTGAGCAAATTTTTACAGAGAGAAATCAGAAAATTATCTTTGGTATTTAGTAATACTATGTGCTGTACGATTAAATACTGGATTCAAAAGTGTTTTGCAGAAATTCCTGTATGCAGAACAGTTTTTACGCCAGTAATATGCCATTTCAATTTGTAGATTTCAGCCAAAATTCATACATATATAAAAACAAGGAGAAGTGGTATGATTGCCTATGAGACGACTATCCACCAGAGTCCAAAAGACCTGAATGTAAGCAACTATAGGTTGCTGTAAAGCTTTGTTTGCAAGCTTGTAAATGTTTCTTAAATTTATTAAACCAGATATATAAGAACCAATGTAGAGATGAGTTTACATATTGTTTGAAAAATTGTAAACTGAAATTCAATAAAACAAGAGTGCTGAAATGTCTCGCCTTCTTTACTAACCATTGATTTTATGTTGATAGTCCTAACTATAAAGCTTTACTAAAAGTATCACATAAACTTAACATGATCCAAGAAAATGAGGTCAAGGTCAGATAAACCAAACCGGAAATACATGTACACCTTACAATCATTCAATACACCAAATATAGTTGACCTATTGCTTATAGTTTCTAAGAAACAGACTTGAACAGGAAAACTAAACATTGACCAATGAACCATGCCAGACAGACATGCACACCTTACAATCAATTTATGCATTAAATATAGTTGACCTATTGCTTAAAGTATCTAAGAAACAAACTTAACCATGAAAACTTAACATTGACCAATGAACCATGAAAATGAGGTCAAGGTCAAATACCTGCCAGACAGACATATACACCTTACAATCATTCCATACAACAAATATAGTTGACCTATTGGTTATAGTTTAAGAAAAACAGACCAAAACACAAAAACTAAACACTGAGCAATGAACCGTGAAAATGAGGTCAAGGTCAAATAAAACCTGCCAGACTGACATGTACATTGTAAAATATTTCCATACACCAAATATAGTTGACCTATTGCATATAGTATTAGAAAAAAAGACCAAAACACAAAAACTTAACTTTAACCACTGAACCATGAAAATGAGGTCAAGGTCAGATGACACCTGCCAGTTGGACATGTACACTTTATAATCATTCCATACACCAAATATAGAAGACCTATTGCTTATATTATCTGATATATGGACTTGACCACGAAAACTTAACCTTGTTGACTGATCCATGAAATGAGGTCGAGGTCAGATGAAAACTGTCTGACGGGCACAAGGACCTTGCAAGGTACGCACATATTAAATATATTTATCCTATTACTCATAATAAGAGAGAAGTTAACTTTACTAAAAATCTTAACCTTTTTTTCAAGTAGTCACTGAACCATGAAAATGAGATCAAGGACAATGGACATATGACAGACGGAAACTTCATAATATAAGCCATCTATATACAAAGTATGAAGCATCCAGGTCTTCCACCTTGGAAAATATAAAGCTTTTAAGAAGTTAGCTAACGCCGCCTCCGCCTGATCACTATCCCTATGTCGAGCTTTCTGCGACAAAAGTAGCAGGCTCGACAAAAAACTAGACAGGTTTTCAAAATTTTAACAAGAATGCTTCTTTTCTGTATTTCTTGTCCCTTACTTATCATCACTTGAGTTTAATATAGAGATTCTTACAGTAAAAGAAAATATGCTTTGATTAGGGAAAGCTACTTTAATGATTCACTTGAAATAAGACACATTTCAAACAATTAAATTCTTCAAAACAAGAGAACAATTTGCAAAGTAATAAGATAATGAAGTATATTATTCATCAATTTACATAAGTGGGTAATGTCAAGCACAGGATATACATCTGTCCCTGTTTTTATGCTCTGTAAAAATATTATAAGACACTTGTCAAAAGCAGACCAAAATATGGAAAATGAATCTTCAGATTTAATGATATACTTGAACAAAACCTGAGAAAATCCTAAACAAAAGTTTTTGTGAGTAGAAGCTATCAAAGAAAGTGTACAGTACAAAATCCCCCCCCCCCCCCCCCCCAAAAAAAAAAATTTAGAACTTGTATTTTATATGCATGATAAAGATTGAATTGCTATTTCATATCTTGTTTTTTTGTTATGTCATAAAAGTTACAAGGGAATTGTTCGCACAGTAGCCAGTGCTTTGGTTTCAAATGACATTTTCATCAGTTTCTAATTTAGTAAATGTTATTAAACTAGGCCTCTTTTTCTTTTCAAACCTGTCTATAAAGGACAATCAAGGAAAGGCAGTTAAATGCCCTGTATAGTCAGCTGCACTTCATAAAGATCTTGTTGATAGAATCAAACTAAGTTATATTTTAGTTACTGTAGTGTGAGTGCCAAGGATAAAATCTGTTGTATATTTTGATGAAATAAATTTGCTATTATAACAACTGCTATCAAAAAATAGTTCAATGTTTTGAAGATCACCTAATTTTCTGTGTGTAGTATTCAGAACTGCCTGTTTTAAACAAATTTTCACTCCATTTTGCTACTTAAAATTGTGCCTGCTGCCTGTATTAAGCAGGGCCTACTATATGAAAGAAATTATATGGGAAAATACATTGAGGAGGATAAAAGACAGCCCACTATAGGCAGCTTCCCATTTTAAGCCCTTTAGACCAGGTTTGACTGTACTATCAAACGTTAGATGTATTTCACTTCCATAACTTCAGGCCCTGAGCATACCTGATAACTCCCATAAATAGTTGTCATGAACATCGAAATTTGTATCACACATGAAAAAAGTGACATTTGTAATACCCTTTACATGGTCCAATCAAAAATCTTTTCAAGATTTTCTTCATTATGTTACGACTACGAATTATTTTTTACATAAAGATTAATGAACAATGTAACTTTTTTCTAATTGTAAAAACATGACTAACGAATTATGTTCAGTTGTATATAAAATGTATTGGCACTTTATCTTATTCAAAATAAAATGACAAAAAATTAAATAACAGTCATCCTTCAACTCTTGTGACAACTTGAAATGAAATATTATACAATAAGAATTTCATGAAAGGAAAACTTGATAATAGTACATTCTGCTTACGCCCATTAATGTTCATCAAACAGGTTGGCAGTACCTCTTAACAAATGAAATAATTCTATCTACGACCTCTGTTTGATGAAAATAAGAGGGTGACAAAAGCCAAGTGACATTGGGTGATATTTATGTAAATTGTTGTATTAATTCAATGAAAGGGTGACAAAACTTCAATAAGTGACAAGTATTAATTGACTTTGGAGAGATTATAATTATGAAATTGGAGCCATTTTGGCCTAATGTGGTGCAAGTTTTTTGATTAATTAGAGTATAGCATGTATAATTTATTACTGGTATGATGGATTGAATTATATGTGGGACAAAGTGCTGAAATATAACTTT